AACTCATGTCATTTACATTCTGATTTTCATAAGCGAGGTATAATACTATGATTCATGCTACAAATAAGCTTTTTCCAACGCCATCTTCAATTTCAAGCGATTATCAACTTTTGATTTTCAAATTGCTCGGTATGTTTTTCTTCACGTTATTGGATAGAGATTTTTTTTCTGCACCCATTCATGTACAATACATTAACATTAATTGTAATTTTAGCAGAGAAAAACAATTACAACATTTTCCGAACATTGTCTTAATCACTACTTCTGTTATACTGTAGTGTGCCATGGAAAGAATAGCGCGTAAAACTGATAACAGTCATTAAATGTTATTTCAATGCCCAAAGCAGTTGTAAATGATACTTATAAGTTGTTTTTTTTTTATTTTTTCCCATGGCATTCTTAGCAAATTTAGATAAATTTGGAATAACTCCTGTCCTTGTTTCCGAAAATAAAATATATAAACATATATTCAATAATAAACGCAGATATAAAGAAAGTGAACTAAGTGGGGTTTATAAAGTAACATGCCCAGAATGTAATATGGTCTATACAGGGTAAATCAAATTCGACCCCCACCATTGGGATCTCAGAAACCATTAGAGATACAGAAATGGTTAAATGGGGGCAAAGTTGCGTATCTTAGCGCTCATCATTTTTTAACTAAGGATCTAGCCGTTTTAGTTTTTAAAATGTGCCCGAAAAACAAAAAAATGACTTTTTCGTTTTTTTGCCTATAATTTCTCTATTTTTCGTGAATCTGAAAAAACATTCTTATGGCAACTTTTTACGAAAAATGTCATGACACAACTAGAAATTTTCTCCGACGTATCGTTTTCGTGAAACTATCATCAGGTTTATTTTTTTTTATGCACGCCATATTTGATTTTCATACCAAGAAATAGGATAATTAATTCTGATTTCAATGATACGTCACATTATTAAATGAATTATTCAAAAAAAAAAAGAAACTCTTGTTAGGAGGCTGTAACTTGTGCGCTAAGTGTTTCCAAAGAAACCAACAAACAATACTTATGAAGAATACTTCACAAGTGACATTAGAATTAAAATAATAGACTAATACTGATTTAAGATGGCTTTTACAAACATTTATTTTTTTGTTTTTCGGCCATATTTTAAAAACTAAAACGGCTAGATCCAAAAACTTAGTTGAAAAATGATGTGTTCTAAGATACGCAACTTTGCCCCCATTTCACCATTTCTGTATCTCTTATGGTTTCTGAGATCCCAATGGTGGTGGTCGAATTTGAATTACCTGTATAGGCCAAACTGGAAGAAACATACATATTAGATTTAGAGAACGCTTAACAAAACATAATTCTGCAATCTTTAAACATAGTGATAGTCTTAAACACAACATAAAATTTGAAAATGTTAAACTTATCAAAAATGTAAGGAAATCAAGGGAGATGGACTTAATCGAAGAATTTCACATACATATAATAATTACAATAACCTTCTAATGAATGATATAACAGATATTAACCCATATAGACAATTCATCAAATACATTTAATTTTCAAATTACACATTCAACGCATACGCAATTTCAGTTTAATAATATACTAATATCTCTAACTAACAACAGTCTCCCAAAGTTGATACCACATAATGGGTCACTCATTTTTCAAATAATTTTGATTTTAATAATTTTTTGTGGATTCATTAAGTTACATTCACTAAATAATCACATATACAGTTTTTCATCTTCTCTTATTTCTTTTCACAGATAAATTCTTAATTTGATTCATAAATCTAAAGATATACCACATTTTTAACGATAAAACCAGTAACTCAACTTTTACATTACCTATAAGACACGCGCTCTAACTCCATTTCCTTTGTTTTTCAGAATTTTCTTTATTATAAAGCAAATTATTTCAAATATAACATGCTCTTCAAACCATAAATAATTTTCTCACATTTTTCACATTTTAAGAAAGATTTTTCAAATTGTTCAAGAAAAACTCCTAAACGAATACGCTTAAATTGTTAACGACCGTCACGATGAATTTCAATTCTTTTAATTCTTTAAATGTTAATTTTTACTTCTTAATTGTTTTTACTCTTTAGTTAATTTGCTAAATCTATTTGATTATGTCATGGTATTTTCAGTCGTGTCTGAAGAAAGAAAGAAATTTCTGAAACATATAAAAAAAATGAAAAATAAATAAAATTGCTTCATCGTTGAACATAGTTTAATTATTTAATAAAACTGTATATACAGGGTGTCTTTTCTCTGCTTAATTTACATTTAAAATGCATGTATTGTACATGGATTCAGAAAAACAATCTCTATCCAATGACGTGAAAAAAAAATAACGCAGCAACAAAACTTAATAATCGCTTGAAATTAAAGATGGCGTTGGAAAAAAATTACTTATAGTATGAGCCATAGTATTTATAAAACCATTTCATTTGATACTTGGGTCATGAAAATCGGAATGTAAATAACAGAGTTACAGCTTGGGGCGTTTTTTCTGTGACACCCTGTATATAACACTTGTTTTTTTTTTTAGATTTAGGTCCAATCAACGAGATACGTATCTCATTAGCTTGAAATTGTTATCTCATTACAATCCGTGCCTACTCTTTCACATCCATGATCTCCAACAATGTCCAAACCTGTCTTTCTTATTTACTGTCTTCATGTTCCCAAAAATCTCATTCGCACTGGCACATTTATATCCAAGGATGCACACCCAAAAAATATCTACAATGCGTCATTTAATACTATTTCTCGTCTCGCCCCCGAATGATTGATTTTAAAACTATATTTGATGTCCTATCACATTTTCACTGTAGGTTTTCTCATTAAATTGCCTTTAGTAGCATCTTTACCGACAATATCCACTCAAAGACCTGTATGTCATGCATTTAGTGAACATTTCCTTTATTATGTCAAGGTAGAACTCCCAACACTTTCCTTTACATTCTAAGAATATCTAGTTCACTCCAGGCGCTTTTCTCAATTCAATTTCTTTTATGGTGGCATTTGTCTGTCAATGTCGGAGTTTCTCTCTCTGGTGTCGTGTTGTGTTTCTATTTGTCAATCACGCCCTCATAAGTTAATTCACTAATCATAAATTCATCTAATACAACCACGACAATTTCGTCCAACTGCTTCCTATATAGCCATTTTAACAAATTTCTCTCATCTTATCCCTTTGTAACTAAGATCGCTGAGTCTAATGCAATTCACAAATATCTCTCATTTTGCGTCGTAATTTTCAATCATATTACTATTATCATCCCTTCAACCTCAATTTTAATACTTTTGACTGCCGATGTGTTATTACATACTGCTATGATTAAGAACAAACTTTCACATCTTCAAAATTGTATGAATACAATGAGTTCGTTACATAGAATAAACTAGATGAGCCCACATAAATGAGCATAGATATTAACAGCCATATCCAGGAGAAGAATCAGCATAGGTGCATTTTACACCCGAATAAGAATATGGAATATAGTTACAAAAAACTGTTCTATCAGGTGTGTTCGTTGTACATACAGGATACATCTACTAAAATTTGTGTCTTTAACACTGCCTCTACAATCATTTCACTTCTATCAGACAAGGTTAGGTGATCTAACCTATACAGGTGATTCAAAAAACGGGTGACAGACTTCTAGAGTAGATGATACATGAAAAATTAAGATGAATAGTCTTATTAATGTAGGTTAGAAACTAAAACACAAATGTGAAAGACCACAAAAGCACCTTGCAATGGAACCAGCCAGAATAATGAAAAACTTGAATAACAATGTGCTACATCTAAAACTAATAATTTAACATCAAGGAGCCAAAACCAATGCTGGTGATAGTCATACTGAAAATTCTTCGGTTTTTAATAAGGAAACATCAGCAACTATTAATCCAACAATTTAAGAAACGGATGACGTGCAGTTTTTTACTCTTTCAAGTCTTAGATAGCTGTAAAATTACTGCTAGAAACGGGGCATATGCATCGATAACTACAACAGAACCTTTTAGAAGTGACACTAAGAATCCATAATAAATAATATAATATTTCATAGTGACAACTTCTAAAAATAATTATAGAAGCGAGGCATACTGACAAACAGCACAAATTTAGCATAAATGACTGTCAACAATCAGTAGTTTTGATTTTAAATAGAAATCCATATCATCTTGTAATTTACAAACATCTGAAGAAAATTAATTATTCAAAAAAAATATAGAACATAATTAAGGAAATTTTTTTATTTATTGTAATAGTATTTATTATAATAAAGGGCCACATTTAACTTTCTTTTTGGTACTCTGGATGGCAAGGGACTTTGGTTCTGAAGTTCTTTTTAAAATTATCACTCTTTCCTGATTATACAAATGTTCAACCCCTCTTCGCTAATCATTGAAATATGTACATGCTGCAACTCGTAGTTGGTCAACCTGTCAAGACCTTGTTTAGAAGTTTAGAACATAGTCAGGACAGGACTGCTAGACATCGGGATATATATGACAAGTGTATACAGTGCGTGTGAATTAATGTGTTCATAAATAATTATTTCCAATTTCGAAATTTATTAAACGTTATTAATAGCTCTATTAAAAGTTTCAAGGTTGTTAATAAAATACAAGGAAAATTTTAATCCAATTTTGAACATTCTAACAAACACTATATAAAATAATGCCTTTTACGTAACATTGGATAAATTCTAGGAACGCTGACTAAATGGTACGTTAAAAATAACCGGTTGCAGTTATGACAAATACCTTTCACAAAATAAGTCTATTTATGAATAAACATTGATGTAAGAAATATCGAAGTCATTTCATACCGAAATGAGTCAAAAATTACACTAAGATGTGCAAATAAAAATATTTTTTAATTAGTCATATTTACACGTGCTATAAAGCAACAAGTACTTTCCAAATATGTTTAACAAATTTATTAAACACTATCTTTTACATAATTTATCTAATTAAAATTAAATTTAATCGCTATGCTTACCTCCGCGAAAAACGCATCCATGAATCCGTCCCTGCTTTCGACGGTGACGGAGACATCATCAGGACCGACATCATCATCGTCACTTTGGGCCTAGAAAAAATTGTTCATTGAAAAAAATTTGCTAATAATTTTATCTAATAAAACATCGAATAAAAAAATAGCCTAATAATAAACCTATATTGTTTTAAACTGAAAAAGTATTAGAAAATAAGATTTTATTGCTCCTAATACAATTCAATTTTTTTTATCGGTAATACACGACCATATGTAATGAGTCTAATGATTAGGTACATTATCGCTGCGTGACGTTGGGTAATCTTATCGTAACAATCATCGATAAAAATATAATGAACCATCACAATTTTTTGCCATAACGATACTTCGATTATAATTACATTTTTAAATTTGTATGTTAAAAATTTTATTTTCTATGAATAAACTATAACGGATTATTTCAGCGGATATCATCCGCCAAGTCTAAATATGTAAATCAATATTTACTCATGGTAAACGATTATGTAAGTAAGTTTGTTATAATGCAGCCTTTGTGGACCGCTACAGCATAAAAGTTCATCACAAATCTAGGAAATGAAGGTTTGTTTTTAAAAACGGAGTTGTGAGTTTGCTCATTTATGATAATGGATAGTTGCGATCGATACCATTAGCAACATTAGCGAGCAAGTGTTTTGACGTAAAATACAAAAAATATCCAAAAATGATCACATTTTTTTATACGGAGTTAACAAGATATTTTTACAAAATAACTTACAAATTTGATAGTTTATTAACATCAAAATCACATTCACCAAATTACAGTAAAAGCTTCTTTTTAAATCACCTAACCTTATCAACAATAGAAAAACTCTTCTTTAAGATTTAGACTGCCAAAAATATAGAATAACCAAATCTCAATCAATTTACCATTCCAATTAATATTGAATTGTACTTAAGTAACAAGCAAAACAAGTGGCTAAGTGCATCATTATGCATTTTTACCATTAAATCTTACTTAAGCGTAACTTAGTTTCGACACCATAAAAGTTCAGCTTTTTTTAAATATTCTGAGTATTTTCCAGCAGCTGAATGGCTTCAGCGTTGGAATATCACAATAGCCTTCTTTGTGCTTCGAAATCTGGGAAATCTTGGATTAGTTTGTAATCCCATTTGATATCAAGGTCATCGCGCAGATTAGTAAGCATTTGTAACCAGTTTAAGAAATGTGTTTTGACTACAATAGATGATCAATTGACTGTATAGAGATTTTACAATACCTTTCAAAAGTTTTGGTGCATTGCTAGATGTAGATTTGATATGGCTCAATAGGGATATGATGCAGTTTTGATAGTTACTTGACTCTATACATACTTGATTTGATAGAAACATTGTGAAGTTTTTATGCAGAGATGATGTAGCTTTTATATGAAGTGGCTTCAATACAGATTTGATGCAGGAATGATTGAAGATTAAAATAGGCTTGATGCTGCAGACATCAAAAACTTGATGTAAACTTAATAAGGACTTGTAATTTTTAACGAATCTGAAATATGGGCTTTGATGGGACAAAGATTTTTTCAACCTCACTTCAATGTTTTTGAAGCAACTTCCTTCCACGATTTCCCTATTATCCTAACATGTTGAGAACATTAAACATAGTACCTATAATAGGCTAGGCATTAGATATTTTTCATAACACCTTGATTTATAGATTGCAGTATTATTATGCTCTATTGATGTTGGAGGTTTTCTTCCTTTTATTCCTCTAGCAGCGTCATTCTCAGAATTTGACTCTCTAAAGTCAAAGTAAAGTTTGGTTGTCTGTCTTTCGGCATTCTTACAAAGAGTTGCCAGCGATTTCTATCTCTTCCTTAGATTGCGTAGATGTCTGTAGGCTATTCAAAGTCATAACTTAGAAATCATTCTTTCCTTTTTTGCAGAAGTCTGTAGACAGTCACTGAGATTAATTTAAATGTTATGTAGTTGTAAATTCACTCACAGTTACAGATGTTAAATCAACGACTTGTGGATGGTTTAATACAGCGATTCCCACAATAAGGGGTGCCTGGACCCCTAGGTGTCCACTGCCAGTACTGCCACAATACTGGGGGTCCACGGCGCATTTGTGAAAAATAATGGAGGCAAATAAATTACAAAAACGTAAAAATTTAAACTACAACATACGAAATTAACTAATTGCATACATAGATTATATTAAAGATTAATATTACTCTCAGAAGAAATATGTAACGTTCTAGGACATTTTGGGTATGGAGGTTGGCAATATTACTCATTTGGGAGATTTTTTAAATTTCCTATTTTGTTTCTTTGCGACTACTTTGTCGTTATAAGTTAAAACTCCTTTCTACTTCTTCTTCTAAATCTATAAATGTTCGTGTTTTTAGTGAAGGTTCGCAAAAATCATTTAAAGAAGAAATTAAGTAACCAAACTCAATATTGACATTTTTTCAAGCAATATTTGATGAGTGGATGTTACAAAGGCAAATACATTTTTACTTTTTTATTATACGGGTAATGAAACAATAGATAACGTTACACAAATTCCATGTAAAAAAATCAGTTTTAGCTCGAAATGGAAGAATACGTTTTTTTAGATCCAGTTTTGTTTGCAACTTCCTTTGTAAAACTTCCTATCAAGAAGAAGGTCCGTCAATGCAGCGCAGAACATTTATCCTTTGGTTTTACAAAATTTCTGTCCTCGGAATCTGGAAAAATACGATCGCAGTGTGTTATTTGCAGCCAGGTTCTAGGAAATGATTCTATGAAACCAGCTAAGTTAAGACACCATTTTGAAATAAAGCACCCAGAGTTTCAGCAAAAAAACACGGATTTTTTTAAAAGATAGAACAACTGTAAACAACATGCAAAGAAGCGTGTCCCACGTTGCCATAACACCATCAAACAATTCAGCCATAATGGCCTCTTTTACGGTATGTCAACTAATATCTGAAAAAAATACACCTCATACTATTGCTGAAGATCTCATATTACCAGCAGCAAAAATTATGGTGTCTGCAATAATTGGCGATAAAGCTGTCAAAAAAATTACACAAATTCCGTTGTCAAACAATACAGTGCAAAGAAGAATTCGCAGTATGGCAGAAGAAATAAAAGATCACAAGGAAAATTATTATTATTAATTATTAATACAAAGAGTTCGTGTATCACCTTGGTTTTCTATACAGTTGGATGAAACAACGGACGTAACTAGTCAGGCAGTTTTACTGTGCTGTGTGAGATACAAGCTGCCATTCTCGAAGACCTATTCTTTGTAGATTTGTTAATTAACACCATCGCAGAAGAAATTTTTGAAAAATTAAATAATATTTCAATAAAAATAAAATCGATTGGGCGAAATGTGTTGGTGTAAGCACAGACGATGTCAAAGCTATGTCCGGAAGAATACCAGGTCTGAAGGCGAGAATAAAGCAAGTATCTTCATCTGCAGAGTGGTACCATTGTGCTATACATCGAGAAGCGTTGGCTACAAAAAGAATTCCTGCAGAATTAAAAGCGGTCTTACATGAGTGTATATACGCGGCTTTTTTCACTGCTAACGCATACAAATGTAAGGTGGCTTTAGAAGGGAAAAGCACTGGGTCGACTTTGGGAATTACATGAAAAAGTCAATGTATTTTTAATAGAAGAACGTTTCCAATCCCATCCCTCTGATAAATTTTCCGCAGGAAAATTTAAATAATTCTACATTTCTTATCAAACTGGCGTACTTATCCGACATCTTTCCTCATCTCAATGATTTGAATATAACATTACAAAGTGCAAATGTAAATTGTTTCCAGGTAGAAGACAAGATTGAAGCAACTATTTTGAAATTGGAATTATGGAAGAATCGACTCAAAAGCGAAAATGTGGAATCATTTCAAAACTTGTCGACATTTTAAAACATGTCTGATACACTTCCCAATGAGGAAGCACAACTAATGATGTGTCATTTGGCAAATCTAAAAAGCACCTTCAGAGAATATGTTCCATTAGTAAGAATTAGTAAGAATTAAAAAAGATAANAAATGTGGAATCATTTCAAAACTTGTCGACATTTTAAAACATGTCTGATACACTTCCCAATGAGGAAGCACAACTAATGATGTGTCATTTGGCAAATCTAAAAAGCACCTTCAGAGAATATGTTCCATTAGTAAGAATTAGTAAGAATTAAAAAAGATGACAAAGATAAATTACTTTTTCTGATCACACGAAAGTGTTCGTACAACGAATTATTAACAAAATAACTAAAGAAAAATCCTATTAAATAAATTACTAGCATCGTGTCGGTCCACCTTTCTACTCTAACACAGTTTTTAAATGGTTTTGTATCGACGATACTAAGTTTCTAGTAACATCGGCCGTAATATTCTCCCATTCTTTCAAAATCGCTTCTTTAAGGGAGGCTTTGCCCGTTATCCTATTTTTTCGCACTCTTTTTTTAATTTCGTCCCATTAATGTTCTATGGGATTTAGCTCAGGGGACTGAGGTGGGGAATTTAATTGCTTTGGAACATTATACAACAGCCATACCATAACTATCTTCGCTGAAATATCCATATCCTTCCTAGATTTAGTCTATCAACGCTGGCACGCAAATTTTCTTTCAATATATTAAGATAATAAAAACGGTCCATAATTCCATCAATTAAAACCAAATTCCCCACCCCAGCCGCCGCCATGCATCCCCAAACCATAATTGATCCACCATCGTGTTTCACCATAGGTAAGAGATGCTCGAGTTGAAATGATCCATCCGATCCAAAAATATTAAATTTAGATTCATCACTAAATAATATGGTGTTCCAAAATTCCATAGGTTTGTCAATATGTTCTTGAGTAAATTCCACGCGTTTCTTCTGGTTTATTGGATTGATAAACGACTTTTTCCGCATTTATCTTCCATTAAAACCTTCCTTCCGTAACAGCCGACGAATACATTCTGGGTGGAAATCCTTTCCTGTTTCTTCTAACCTCTTCCGCCAATATTGGACCAGTCAAAGTTGGTTCTTTTAATACTTTACGAGTAATATTTCGTTTGTCTCGTGAGTTTGACTTCAAAGGGCGACCTG